AGGTCAGGAGTTCAAAACCAGCCTGAGCAAGAGCGAGACCCCGGTTTCTACTATAAATAGAAAGAAATTAATTGGCCAACTAATATATATAGAAAAAATTAGCCAGGCATGTGGCACAAACCCGTAGTCCCAGCTACTCAGGAGACTAACCCAGAAATATCACTTTAGGCCAGGAATTTGAGCCCAGCCTGGATAACATAGTGAGACCCCATCTGTAAAACTGACCCTCCAAAAAGAATATGCTAAGAAGAAAAGAACTGGCAGGGAGGGAACTTGTGAACTTCTTTTCCTATTTCTCTCTTCCCTTTCATGGTTAAACTTTCCAAAACAGGTGTCTATCTTTGCTATTTCTTCTCCTTCATCTCACAGATTCCTCCTTAACCCACTTTTGCATGGCTTCTGCCCCTACTACTGCACTGAATTTGGTCTTCCTAAATTCACCAACGACCTGTTACCTGTTCAATTCCCTGTATGCTTTTAAGTCATATGATATCCTATGTCCCTGCCAACCACCCCCTCAGTATTTGATGTTGATGACACTCCCTATTTGAAACTCCTTTCCTTCAGTTTCTAGGATGTCAATATCTTCCCATTTTTCCCCCAGCTCTGTAAATATACTGTATTCTTTGTAGATTCTCTTCTTTGTCCGTCATCCAAATGTTTCCGTTTCTAGGGTTGTATGGTAGATACAGAGGTTGGCTCAATAAACATCCATTTCAATCCTCCCTTTCCTACCTTTCTTCTACTGTAAAGGCTGCAAAGATGAAATTCTCAATTCTTTATCTTTCCTTGAAGTTAGGGAAGGCCATTGGATTCAGTTGGGACCATGAGAAATGGTAGAAATCCTAGGAGAGAGTTTCCCTTTCCCTTGAAAAGACAACCTGACAGAGGAAAGGGTTTTGTCCTTTGTTCTCATCCTTCTTCTTATTTTATTTTATTTATTTATTTATTTATTTTGCTTAGAACATGTATGTAAAGTTGGAAGCACAGCTATGATATTTTTTGGAGACAGGGTCTCACTCTGTTATCTGAGCTAGAGTGCAGTGGCATCATCATAGTTCACTGCAGCCTCAAACTCCTGGGCTCAAGCGACCTTCCTGTCTCAGCCTCCCAAGTAGCTGGGACTATAGGCACACACCACCACACCTGGCTATTTTATTTTAATTTTTGTAGAGGTGGAGTCTCACTGTGTTGCCCAGGCTGGTCTTGGACCTCCTGCGGCCTCAATGCAATCCCCCACCACCCACACCCACACCACCCCCCAGCTCCCTAACCTCCCAAAGTGCTGGGATTACTGCACCTGGCAGCTGATTTTTTTTTTTTTTTTTGAGACGAGTCTCGCTTTGTTGCTCAGGCTACAGTGAGTGCTATGGCGTTAGCCTAGCTCACAGCAACTCAACATCCTGGGCTAAGCAATCCTATTGCCTCAGCCTCCCGGAGTAGCTAGGACTACAGGCATGCCACCATGCCTGGATAATTTTTTCTATATATATTAGTTGGCCAATTAATTTCTTTCTATTTATAGGAAAGACAGGGTCTTGCTCTTGCTCAGGCTGGTTTCGAACTCTTGACCTTGAGCAATCTGCCTTCCTTGGCCTCCCAGAGTGCTAGGATTACAGGTGTGAGCCACTGTGCCCGGCCTACCTATGATCTTTTTTTTTTTTTGATACAGTCTCATTTTGTTGCCCAGGCTAGAGTGATTATGATCTTTTGATCATAAGGTTGAAACCTACTTGACAAAAATGGTGTCAGAAGAAGACTATGGTTACCTGATGGCATCTTTAAGCTGTATCAACAATGGAAGCTTATCTCCAGTCTTCTCGTTGCATACAATAACTAAATCATAATGTACTTAAACTATTTTTAGTCAAGTTAAAATCCTAACTGATAAAAGTTTGTGTTATTGGACATTTATTCTTCTCATTCTCCATTACTCTACAGGGAAATCTGATCTACTACCTTGACTATAATCATCACCCACGTAGAGTTGACTTATAAAATCCTCATCTCTGTCCAGACCTTTCTGCTGAGTTATGGACTCATATATCCAGCTGCCTACTGTAAAGTTCCACTTAGATGTCCACATCAGTGAAATTTACTGTATGCAAATTTTCTTAAAATATCAAAGCTGATATATTTTAGTGAGCATAACATTTTAAATAATAAAAATACAAAGGCTATTTTTAGACAAAACACTAAGTTAATAATCTAGATCTGATTTTTACTTAATTATCTCCAAATTTACTTTAAGCTTTCCCATGGTTGTAAAGTCACACAACAATGGAGGTAGAGATTTATCATCTCAGGGGAGCAGAAATTTCTGGGTTGAATAATATATGGTCGTAGAATGGTTATTTGCTGCCAGAAATTCAGATTGGGACACAGACCCTGAGGACTACAAGCTCCTCTAGAATGTTTCTACCTGATTCCAAGAAGGGTAGACTGTCCTTCTTATCGCAGAGTAGGCAACCCTAAGTCAACACATTTCAGCTGAAATTTTTATCAGCATTTTTTTTTGGTTTAGTTCTGCTACAGCTTTATTGCCATTTTAGTAATGATACATTCTTCTTGAATATTCTATTTATTTATTTATTTTATTTTTAAAGGCTGGTCAAATGAAGCAGTGGGAGTGGAGAAGGAACAAAGGAATCTGTAACTGGCTGTCATCAGTTAGTTATAAACACCCCTGCACTCGGACCAACCTCTTCTTGAACATTTTCATTTAAAGCATAAAAATGTTCACCAATGTTTTGATGTATAGTTGAACTACCATAAACTGAAGGCTTGTTTAGGTTCAAAGATTGGTGAGAGTGATCACATAGTGATTCATTATTCATTATTAAACCTGTATAAAAGCAGTAACCAAATATACACAAGATCAATGATCTGGATAAATATGGTTCCCCAAAGCCTACCTTTATCTTCATGGTGGTACACCCCAAGGTCAACAGTCTGAGATGAGATGCCCATGGGAATGAAAATTCTGCCAGGTCAGTGGTGCCAGAGCAATGGAGTAGCTGCCTTTTGTATCACTGAAGGTGAGGCAAGTGAGGCAACCACAGTTCTGCTCTAGGATCCACCCTATCATCATATGAGGAAATCCCTACTGTAATTAAAGCCACACTCTAATACTCTGTGGGCCAGTTCATATGGTTTCAACAAACCTACTTGAAGTTTCAGAGCATCAGGACTAGCCATTGGCTTTTCAAAGGGATAAAGCCTTTTCTTTGAATTTCGGAACTCACATTTCTTCGGCTTGAGTAATACTTAATTAAATTACAAATTAGAGTAACATGTACAACTGGAAAAACAGGTTTTGGAACAAATCCATCTGATTCATAGCAAGCATACATCCCAACTTCTGGCAGCAGAAGTGCATGATTATGTTAGAGAGTAGCCTACCAGCTGTAAGTGTTCAGTATGGTGTGCGTATCAGCCTGTTTTACAAAGGGAAGAGTGAATATAGCTCACTACGGTGCTTAGGTAGGAGGAGGAAGATCACAAACATTTCTACTATTTTTTTTAATTTTAAAAATTCTTCTAATTTTTTTTTTTTTGAGACAAGGTCTCGCTCTGTCGCCTGGGTTAGAGTGCAGTGATATTATCAAAGCTCACTACAACCTCAAACTTCTAGGCTCAAGTGATCCTCTTGCCCCAGCCTCCCAAGTAGATGGGACTACAGGTATGTGCCACCATGCCCAGCTAATTTTTCTATTTTTTGTAGAGACAGGGGTGTTGCTACGTTGCCTGGACTAATCTTGAACTCCTGGCCTCAAGCGACCCTCCCACCTCTGCCTCCCAAAAGTGCTAGGATCACAGGCGTGAGCCACCACACCCAACCCACTTCTACTCCTTATAGGTATGTAAATAATATGAATGAGAATAATATAAATAATAATATAAATAATATTTGTTCTGTGCTTGCGTTTGAGAGGATCTCTCCATCTGTTGTATTTTTTGTAATTACTTTGTATAGCTGCCATATCCCAAGGATAAGTTCCTCACTTGTTATCATGAATTCTCCATCAATAACTCTTAAGTGGATACCCATGGCAGAGATACTGCTATATGTTCACTTTCCTCTTCTTGGGTTCCCAGGCAGTTAGGCTGCAACCTGTCTAGCAGTTTGGCTAATGGAATGTGGGTGGAACTGATGTCAGCCATTTTCTGGCCTGGCCCTTAAAAACTCACTGGGCACTCTTCCAATCTTATCTTTGCCACCATTTCCTTATAGCTTGCTGATCTAGATGGTTTAGCTACGAGATGGTGGAAGTCACTTGAACCACAAGAACCGTCACAGAGTTGAGAAATAAACTTTTGTGATATTAAGTCACTACAGTTTGGGGCTTTGTCAGTTGTGACAGATAGGGTTGATTACTGTGAATAATACAACAGCTCACATAATACTAGGAACCAATAAGATCAGTTGCCTGTAGGAAGAACTGGGTAGTTGCAGGACAGTTGTGGGATGGAAAGCTGTCATGATGTGCCCTTCTGTATTCTAAATATATATACACATACATATTTGTGTGAATATACCCAGATCAAAATACAGAACATTTTTAGCACCCAAGAAGACCCCCTTATACTTCTTTCCAATCAATACCCACCCTCCTAGAGATAACCAGTATTCTGAGTTATATCATGATCCATTAATTTTGCTTGTTCCTGAACTTTCATATAAATGGGTTCATATTTTTGGTCTTTCACATAACATTTGTGAGATTCATCTTTGTTGTTGCATGTATAAACAGTTTATTCTTTTTAAATTGCTGTATAATGTAACATTGTATGAATTTACCACATTTGTTTAGTCATTTGACTTTTAATGGACATTTGGGCTTGTGATATTGTGCAATACATACAGTATTTGGTCTTCCTCCCTGTAGAATGTCCAAAGTGATAAATGTCTTTTTTTTTTTTCTCGATAAATGTCTTTTTGTATGCTAGTGAGATGATTGATGGCTGGCTACCCCTAGGTAGCTTCAGGATGGGCCTGGTCACTGGAGAGACCTAGCCATGACTAAAAGGTTGGGACTTTCAGCCCCACCCCCAGTATCAGGGGAGGAGAAAAGAGAGGGCCTGAAAGTTGAGTTGATCACTAATGGCCAATGATTTGACCAACCATATCTAGGTATTGATCAATCATATCTAGGTAATGAAGCTTTTGTTAAAAACCCAAAAAGACTGGGTCGGGGAGCTTCCAGATAGTTAAACACATCGAGATTTCTGGAGAGAGCATGGAAGCTCTGCACTCCTTCCCTTATGCCTTATATCATTTATAATAAACTACTAAATATAAGTAGTATTTCCCTGGGTTCTGTGAGCTGCTCTAGCAAATTAATCAAACCTAAGGAAGGAGTTGTGGGAACTCCAATCTATAGCCGGTCAGAAGCACAAGTAAATTAACCTATTGCTTGCTATTGGCATTGGAAATGGGGGGTGGGGCAGTCTTATGGGACTGCACCCTCTACCCAAGGTATCTGATAGTATCTCCAGGTAGATAGTGTCATAACTGAATTGAATTAGAGGACTCCCAGCTACTGTCTCCTGCAGAATTGATTGTTGGCTTGGCATGTGGGGGAACACCACCCCCCCAGCTCTAGTCACAGAAGTATTCTGTGTCCATTGCTGAGTGAGATAATAGGAAAAACACTTTAGTTTTGTTTTTTCCCTATGTTCTCAGGGGACTGTTTGCAGTTTGGGACTGTTATGAATAAAGCTAAGACATAAAGCTATGGAAATTCTTGTATGTGTCTTTTGTCTCTTGGTAGACACATACACTCAGTTTTTAAAAATATATCTAGGCCGGGCGCGGTGGCTCACGCCTGTAATCCTAGCACTCTGGGAGGCCTAGGCGGGCGGATTGCTCGAGGTCAGGAGTTCAAAACCAGCCTGAGCAAGAGCGAGACCCCGTCTACTATAAATAGAAAGTAATTAATTGGCCAACTATTATATAAATTAGCCGGGCATGGCGTAGTCCCAGCTACTTGGGAGGCTGAGGAAGAAGGATTGCTTGAGCCCAGGAGTTTGAGGTTGCTGTGAGCTAGGCTGATGTCATGGCACTCATTCTAGCCTGGGCAACAAAGCAAGACTCTGTCTCAAAAAAAAAAAAATATATATACATATATATATATAAATATATACATATATATATATATTTAGAAGTCGAATTACTGGGCATCAGCTAGATGTATGTTTACCTCTAGTAAACTCTACTAAACAATTTTCCAAAATGGCTGAAACAGTTTACACTGCCACCTGCAATGCATGGAAACTGTGCTGCTCCACATCCTTTCCAATATTTCGTATTTAACAATTCTAATACTTACATAGTAATATATCTCATTGTGATTTTAATTTGCATTTCTTTGATAACTAATGATGTTAAGTACCTTTTCATATGTTTATTGGCAATTTGGATATTCCCTTTTGTGGAGTACCTGTTCAAGTTTTGTGCTAGTATTAATTTGTTCTCTCTTTCTTATTGATTTATAGGAATCCCTTACATATTCTGGATATAAGCCCTTTATTGGAGATATGTCCTTCTCTTAATGTGTGCCTTTCCTGTTTACTCTCTGTAAGATATGGTTTGATGAACAGAAGTTCTTAATTTTAATGAAATATAATTTATCATTTTTTTCTTTTGTAATTAGTAATGTCTGTGTCCTACTTAAGAAATTTCTTGGGGGGATGGGAAAGCTTGTAGTGGCATATATGTAACCTTAACATTTGTACCCCCATAATATGGTGAAAAAAAAATTTAATAAAGGAAAAAAAAAAGAAATTTCTCCATTGCAAGAGTGTTAAGATATCCTCCTTTGTTTTACTTTTTCTTTCTTTGTTAGAGACAAAGTCTCATTCTGTGGCCCAGGCTGGAGTGCAGTGGTGCAATCATACCTCACTGCAGCCTCAAACTCCTGGCCTCAAGCAATCCTCCTACATTGGCCTTCCAAGGTGAGGCACCGTGCCTGGCCTGCCTCCTTTGTTGTCTTCTACAAGTTTTGTTGTTTAAGATTTTACATTTAGGTATGATCCAATTGTGACCTATGATCTATGTGGAATTAATTTTTTATATGGTATGAAGTGGGGAATCATGGTTCATTTTTTATCCAGTTGAATATACAAACTGATCCAGTCCCATTTATTGAAAAGATTATTCTTTCTTCATTGAATTGTAGTGGCATCTCTATTGTAAATCAAATAATTATGTATATGTGTGTCCTAATCTGTTTGTGCTGCTATAGCAAATTACCTGAGACTGGGTAGTTTATAAAGAACAGACATTTAGGCCTGGCACAGTGGCTCATGCCTGTAATCCTAGCACTCTGGGATGTTGAGGCATACGGATTGCTTGAGCTCAGGAGTTTGAGACCAGCCTGAGCAAGATCGAGACCCCATCCCTACTAAAAATAGAAATAAATTAATTGGCCAACTAAAAAATACATAGAAAAAATTAGCCGTGCATGGTGGCATGTGCCTGTAGTCCCAGCTACTCGGGAGGCTGAGGCAGGAAGATCACTTGAACCCAGGAGTCTGAGGTTGCTGTGAGCTAGGCTGATGCCACGGCACTCACTCACTCTAGGCTGGGCAACAGAGTGAGACTCTGTCTCCAAAAAAAAAAAAAAAGACATTTATTTCTTACAGTTCTGGCGGCTGGAAGTCCAAGATGAAGCATCAGAAGGTTCAATGTCTGCAGAGGGCTCAGTCACCACTTCTGAGACATTACCTTATTGCTGCATCCTCCGGAGGGGACAAACACTGTGTCCTCACTTGGTGGAAGGGACAGATAGCAGAAAAGGGCCTAGTTAATTTCTTCCAGCCCCCCCCATATGCTGGGGTTAAGATAACTGTTGCATTAGGGATTAAGTTTCAAAGTGAATTTTGGTGGGGACACGAACATTCACACCACAGCAATGTGGGTCTACTTCTGGACTCCCTATTCCATTCCCTTGTGTTTTTTTGTCAGTCTTTCTGCCCATACCACGCTGCCTTAATTACAGCCACGTGCTGCACAATGTATCGGTCACTGCCAGACTGCATATAGGACAATGCTCCCGTAAGATTATAATGGAACTGAAAAATTCCCATGGCCTGGTGATATCACAGCCAACCTAACACTGTTACTCATAACATTGTTTGCGGTGATGCTGGTGAAAAGAAACGTACTGCGTTGCCGGTCATGTGAAAGTCTAGCACGTACAATTATGCACAGCACGTAATACTTGATAATGATAATAAATGACTGTTACTGTTTTATGTATTTACTATATCATACTTTTTATTGTTATTTTAGGCGTACCCCTTCTACTTGTAAGAAGAAGTTAGTTATAAAACAGCCTCAGGCAGGTCCTTCAGGAGGTATTCCTGAAGAAAGAAAGCATTCTTAGGAGGTGACAGCTCCATGCATGTTAATGCCTCTGAAGATCTTCCAGCTGGACAGGAGATGGAGGTGGAAGACACTACTATCGTGAGCCTGACCCTGTGTAGGCTTAAGCTAATGTGTGTGTTTGTTTCTTAGCTTTTAACCAAAAAGTTTAAAAAGTTAAAAAAAACCAAACTTTAAAAATAGAAAAAAAAGGCCGGGCGCGGTGGCTCACGCCTGTAATCCTAGCACTCTGGGAGGCCGAGGCGGGCGGATTGCTCAAGGTCAGGAGTTCAAAACCAGCCTGAGCGAGACCCCGTCTCTACCATAAAAATAGAAAGAAATTAATTGGCCAACTAATATATATAATATAAAAATCAGCCGGGCATGGTGGCTCGTGCCTGTAGTCCCAGCTACTCGGGAGGCTGGGGCAGGAGGATTGCTTGAGCCCAGGAGTTTGAGGTTGATGTGAGCTAGGCTGATGCCACGGCACTCACTCTAGCCTAGGCAAGAAAGCGAGACTCTGTCTCAAAAAAAAAAAAAAAATATTTTTGTACAGCTGCACTATATGTTTCTGTTTTAAGATAAGTGTTCTTATAAAAGAGTCAAAAAGTTGAAAAACATTAAAAAGGTTATAAAGTGAAAGAGTTAAGTAAGTTAAGGTTAATTTACTATTGGAGAAACAAAAATTTTTTAAATAAATTCAGTGTAACCTAATTGTTCAATCATTATAAAGTTTATAGAAGTGTACAGTAATGTTCTAGGCCAGGGGTCCTCAAACTTTTTAAACAGGGGGCCAGTTCACTGTCCCTCAGACTGTTGGAGGGCCGGACTATAGTTAAAAAAAAAAACTGTGAACCAATTCCTATGCACACTGCACATATCTTATTTTGAAGTAAAAAAACAAACAGGCAAAAACACCCGCATGTGGCCCGAGAACTGTAGTTTGAGGACTCCTGTTCGGGGCCTTGACATTTACTCACCACCCACTCACTGACTCACCCATAGCAAATTCCAGTCCTGCAATCTCCATTCATGCGTGGTAAGTGCCCTACACATGTGTACCATTTTTATTTTTTATACCACATTTTTACTGTACCTTTTCTGTGTTTAGATATGTTAGATACACAAATACTTACTATTGTATTATAATTACCTACAGCATTCAGTATGGTAACATGCTATACAGGTTTGTAGCCTAGGAGCAATGGGCTATACTTTATAGCCTAGGTATGTAGTAGACAACATCGTCTAGGTCTGTGTAAGTACACTCTGTAATGTTCATACAATGATGACAAAATCACCTAAGGTGCATTTCTAATCTTTCAACCCATTTCTAATGCACCCACACAACTTGCTGGGATTTTGATTGGGTTTCATTGAATCTATAGATCAATTTGGAAAGAAATGTCATGTTAAAAATATTGAATTTTCTGATCTTAAAAATGGTATATCTAAGTATTCTTTAATTTTTTTTAGCATTTTTAAATAGTTTTCATTGTACATGTCTTAAATATTTTTGTTAGATTTATTCCTAGGTATATCATTTTCAAATGCTATCATAAATGGTATTATTTTTGTTTTAATGTCAAATTGTTTGTTGCTAGTTCATGGAAATACAATTTGTTTTCATGTATTAAACTCTTATCCACCAACCTTGCTAAAGTAAGTTATTAATTATTAATTATACATTAATTTTGGATTTTCTTTGGATTATGACATACACAATCATGTCATCTATGAACAAAGACAGTTTTGCTTCTTCTCTTTTAATATTTATACCTTTTATTTCTTTTTCTTGCCTTTATTTTACTAACTAAATACCTTCAGCATAATTAATAGAATTAATGATAATGAACATTAGTATCTTATTGCCAACATCATGGGAAAATTATTTAATGTTTCATAATAAACTATGATATTAGTGAGAGATTTTGTTAATGTTTTTTTCTCAGATTAGGAAAGTTTCTTTGTATTTTTGTATTCCAATTACTGTGTAATTTTGGTTTTTTTTTTTTTGAGACAGGGTCTTGCACTATGTTGCCCAGGTTGGAGTGCAATGACTACTCACAAGTGCCATCATAGTGCACTATAGCCCTGAACTCCCAGGCTTAAGTGGTCCTCCTGCCTCAGCCTCCCAAGCATCTGGAACTACAGAGGCATGCTGCCATGCCCAGTTTCCTATTATATTTTAGTTTCAGTTTGTGTTTTTATGAGTGAGGTTGAGTAAATCTCTTCATGTATTTTAAGTCCCATGTGTATTTTTTTTGTGGACTGCCTTTCATATTCTCTGATAACTTTTTAATAGGTTGTTGAGCTTTTTCTTACAGATTTAGAGAAACTCTGTACATATTAGGAAATTCTTTCTGTTACAAGTTTCAAATATTTTATCCCAGGTTGTCCACAGAGTAAAAAGCTTTTTAAAAAAGTAACAATAGGCCGGGCATGGTGGCTCACGCCTATAATCCTAGCACTCTGGGAGGCTGACACGGGTGGATTGCTCAAAGTCAGAAGTTCAAAAACAGCCTGAGCAAGAGCGAGACCCTGTCTCTACTATAAATAGGAAAAAATTAATTGGCCAACTAAATATATCTATAATACACAACAAAATTAGCCGGGCATGGTGGTGCATGCCTGTAGTCCCAGCTACTAGGGAGGCTGAGGCAGCAGGATTGCTTGAGCCCAGGAGATTGAGGTTGCTGTGAGCTAGGCTGACGCCATAGCACTCATTGTATCCTGGGCAACAAAGTGAGAGACTCTGTCTCAAAAAGAAAAAGTAACAATAAAAACAATTTAGGGGGGCCACCCGGTGGGTGGGGTGCCAGCCCAGCCCCGCTGGTCCCAGGAATTCTTCCCCATGCCATAAGCTGCCTGGGTGGGCACCTCAGCCGCAATACCACTTGGCCACAGGCAGGGAGACTGCAGGGCTGCCTGCCGGCGCGTCTTCACACACAATCTCACCTCACACTCCAACACTTCACCCGCGGGCTCTCTCCCCTGCATGCTCAGACACACTTACACACTCAGCTCCTGGCAGGCTGGGAAGAGACAGAACTAACGCTTTCCTCACCCCCCACCCCTGCGGCCTGGTCATCAGCCATAGCAGTGCGCTTCAGACTTTTGCTGACACCTGCCATGTGCAAGGGACTGAAGGGGAGACGCCTGGGGACGCAGCAGCCGACGCTGACGCGTGTCCTGGTCTGGTGAAGCAGGGATAGAGCAGTCTGTTGCCGGGACCCTGGTCACAGAAGCCTGATGCCCGCCTTCTAAGTTCGGCCTTCTGGAAGTAGCCCCTGCTCCGAGCCCTGAAACCAAGGTCTCTACCCAGTCTTCCCAGGCTGACGCCCCATCTCCCAGTGTCCCTCCCCCGAGGTGCAGGTAATCTGTGGCCCGCCCAGGGCACCTTCC